CTTTGCATGATATCGGAGAGCTAAAATATGAAATTAGGTGTTGTTATCATAAAGTTAGAATATATTACTAATTATTATAAATAGCGAGTGTGGAATAATGATGGTTCGGTGTGCGGAATTGTCCTAGGCAATTGTTAACAAGACCGATAGTCGTCATTGCAATTTCATATGAGGGAGAGTCATAAGCTAACATACTTTCTCTTCTTGGATCATATGCACTTATGATTGGAACTCTAGCAAGCATCTACAACTACTAAATATCATTAAGGTAAAACCCAACCATACCATTAAAGCATCAAGTCCCCTTTATCCCATACGCAACAACCCCCTTACTCGGGTTTATGCTTCTGTCACTCAAGCAACCCACTATAAGCGAATCATGAACGTATTGCAACACCCTATAGTGGGAATCCCTCACCCTTGCGCACACGAAGGGCACAATAGGACAACACCAAAATAAACATACAACTCATACCAATCTAGATCAACAATCAACCCAAAGACAAAGGATATCTACTCAAAACATCATAGGATGGCAACATATCATTGGATCATAATATGTGGCATAAAGCACCATGTTCAAGTAGGGATTACAACGGGGTGCGGGAGAGTGGACCGCGTAAAAGAGATGAGGATGGTGATGAGGATGGTGATGTTTATGAAGACGATCACCGCGACGATGATTCCCCTCCCGATGGCACTCCGGTGCCACCGAGAGAGAGGAGGAGAGGTTCTCCCCTTTGTGCTTCCTCCTCCATGGCCTCCCCCCCTGGATGGGGAGAGGTTCCCCCTCTGGTCCTTGGCCTTCATGGTGATGATGGCCCCTCCGGGATCCTCCTCCATGCCCTCCAGTGATGATGGCCCCCTCTGGCAGGGTGCTAGAGAGGGCCTAGATTGATTCTCGTGGCTACAGAGGCTTGCGGCGGCGGAACTTCCGATCTAGGTTATTTTCTGGGGGGTTCTGTATTTATAGGAATTTTTGGCGTCGGTTTCACGTCAGGGGGGTCTCTGAGTCGTCCACGAGATATGGGCCCACGCCCAGGGGGGTGGGGCGCGCCCCCACCCTCGTGGATGGCTCGGGACTCTTCTGGCCCAACTCTTTTACTCTGGGGACTTCTTTTGGTCCACAAAAAATCATCAAAAATTGGCACATCAATTGGACTCTGTTTGGTATTCCTTTTCTGCAATACTCAAAAACAAGGGGAAACACAGAAACTGGCACTGGACTTTAGGTTAATAGGTTAGTCCCAAAAATCATATAAAATAGCATATAAATGCATATAAAACATCTAAGATGGATAATATAATAGCATCAATGCTTCATAAATTATAGATACGTTGGAGACGTATCAGTGGCCTCTGCCGCAGCGGAAGCATGCCGAAGGCGCTACAGGCGTCCATCGGCAGCGCGACAGGCAACATTCGGCCGCGGGATAGTGGCACGTGCTCGGGTTGGGGCAGCCGAGAACGGTGCCAGTGGTGAGCGGTGGCAGGGGCCAGAGGCGCGCGTGGCAGCGCCAGGAGCGGGAGTAGCTGCAACAGCGATAGGCGTAGCGGGCCGCAACACATGAGGCGGCGAGCATACGCGCGGGTGGCTGGAGGCGCTACAAGCGGGCGGGTCGCGGGACGAGAAGGGGGAGGCAGGGGCATGTGCACGAGCAGCGCAAGGCGCGACCAGGGCGCGGCTCGGCGTGGGGACCACGAGCGGACTACAGTGGGCACGCCCATGGGCGCGGGTACAGAGCAGGGGGGCGGCGTGCGGCTGGACGGGATGGCCGCGGCCATT